CCCGCTTCTGTCAGTGAGCCCCAGGGCAGCTGTGGCTACAATGTAGCTTGCCACCATCAGTGTGTGAGTGTGTGCGTGAATGGGTGAATGAATGTAGTGTAAAGCGCTTTGGTCAAGTCTCCTGACTTGAATAAAGGCGCTATATAAGTACATACCATTTAGTAGGGAGCAGCTAGGGGGTTCAAATGTTTGCAGGATTCTACAAAACTGAATGTAATTGTCCAACTTTGCTAAATGCTATTTTTTAAATAGCATTTTTAAATATGACAAACAAAAGGGTTACGGTTAGGGTTAGCTAACCTTGCAGTGAACACGGATGCAGTCGTAGAAGTAGCGCCACTCGTCTGGGCAGAAGGCAACCTTCAGGGTGTAGGAGAGGCCTGGGATGAGCCGACACTTGGCAGACGCACGGAAACAAAAATCAGAACTGATTGCATTCATGGAGGAACGGAGGGGAGAATTTCACATTCAGGTGGAGAAATACCTTTTTGGTGTAAGATGTATGGAAATACTTTGTCAGGGTTGGAATTATATGAATATTAATCACTTCAGATGAGATGTTGATTAATTTCTAATGGACAAAACGAGAAGAAAAAAGGAAAATAAAGAAATATTATACCTTTGTTACGCATATAGGGCTTTGAATTAGTTTTTAATAATAAAAAAAAAAAAGGTAGAAACTGGATGATAGGACTGCTAATGCGGATATTTTACAGATAAGCAGTTATTATTTTAATACTGTACATGTCCTGGTTTAATGCTCAACACCTTTCATAATTTTTTTACTTTTCCACAATATTACAACAATATAATTCAATTGAGCTCAGAGTTTTAATAAAGCAAAATACTAAACGGTTGAAGTGTATTAAATACTTTTGCAAGCTAAACCAGCGTTTTTCTCACCAGGATCTTAGTGTAATTCTTTCCCAACTCAAAGCTGGTGAAATGCAGCTCTGCAGGATCTGCTTGGATCTGACTGTTGCTCTTCAGTTTGGCGTAGATTTCTAAAAGGGAAAATTAACATGTTGAGAAATTCGGTGTAAATCAAATATACGGCAAGGAAAATATGTAGTTGAGCACTCTGCTATTTTGCACGCTTAGAAATCAATGATGGAGGGGTCTGAAATTGTTATTGTAGGTGCATGTCCACTGTGAGAGACATAATCTAAAAAAAAAAAAAACAGAAATACTAATATATATATTTTTTAACTATTTATTTGTATGATACAGCTGTAAATAAATATACACTGGAAATGTGATCTAGAAATAAGTAAAAAATTCTTTAAGTATATTTACCCTTATTTTGAGCAGGTAAATGAGATGATTTGCCAATGGAATGAGTATTTTTACTCTCAAAATAGGATAATTAGATCAAATGCACTTTAAATAAGACAATGCAATTGCTTTTTCTTATTTTAAGTGTAATTTGTCTTGTTCTATAGACAAAATGTTTCTTTTACCTTCTCAATTCAAGAACAAATGCAATTATTTTAAGAAAAAATTACTTATCTAGACTTAGATTTTTTTTTTCCAGTGTGTGAACACTTGTCAATTAGCTAGAATCAAAGACCTGTTTGTTTGCCTTCAAAATGTTCACCTGACCCACCTGTTTGAGGTCTTTAGCTGCATCAAGACACCTGTCCACCCCATACAATCAGTAAGAATCCAACTACTAACATGGCCAAGACCAAAGAGCTATCCAAAGACACTAGAAAAAAAAAAAAGTACACCTGAATAAGGCTGTAAAGGGCTACGGGAAAATTGCCAAGCAGCTTGGTGAAAAAGGGTCCACTGTTAGAGCAATCATTAGAAAATGGAAGAAGCTAAACATGACTGTCGCTCTCTCTCGGACTGGGACTCCATGCAAGATCTCCCCCTCGTGTGGTTTCATTTAACCTAAGAATGATGAGAAATCAGCCTAGAACTACACGGGAGGAGCTGGCCAATCACCTGAAAAGAGCTGGGACCACCGTGTCCAAGGTTACTGCTGGTAAT